AGCCCCAGGCCCACTCAGGGCATGAGACTTAAGGGCTGATTTGGCCAACATAAAAGCACCTATTGTGTGCAAGGACCTCACCCACCGAACACTAAACCCCCACTGTGTGGCACAGAGCCCCTGGAGGGCTCTCAGCACCAGGGTGAGAGGTCACTTTGCTGTGCTTGGTGGCCGGGACATGGTGAGGAGGCTGCTGAAGGGACAAGGGCCCAGAGGAGAGAAGGTTGACTTTGATGCAGTCCCTGCTCTTCTGAAGCCGATGGCTCTAGAAGGGACCTGCTGGGTGGGGGATCAGCACACCAGGGACTGGATGTTGCTGGATCTCATTGCTGCCCCCTCCACCTTTGTGGCTCCTCCTTCTCTTCCCCAGGTCACAGCTCCCCAGGGCTGGGCTGGAGACCTCTCCCCTCCCCACCCAAGTATGTGCATCCTCCCGCTCGCTGGCATCACTCAGCCCATGTCTTCACAAAAGGCGTCTCCACCCACCCGGCACCTCTAGGCTCTCCCCACTGCGTCTGACCTCATAAACTTTCCACATGTCCCTGAAGCTGCCCGGGCTCAGCGGTCCCCTTTCGGGCACTGACCCCGCTACCCCTGGACGGGTAGTGTGTGGCCGCCTTCTGGCTCGGGGTTGTGGGCTCCGAGCACATGGATCAGGACTCGGCAGGCGACCTGCCTGCGAGCTGGCCAGGTGCCAGGCACGGTGCCAAGCGCTCTACCTGCATCGCTTCATTGACTCCCAACTACAGCCTTGGGAGGAAGCAGGGACTGTGATCTCCGTTTTCACGGACCACAGAGCCGAGACACCGATGAATAAATTACCGAGGACCCGGAGCGCGTCCAGCACTCCCTGAAGAAGCAAATCATCCACTTCACCCTGGCTGACAGCCGGGGGAGTCGGCCGGAGCAGCCGTGATTCCGAGCATGTGTATGAGTGTTTGCGTGTTTACGAGTACTTCCCACATTGCTATGGAGACCGACGATGCAGCCTCTTCCTCTGAGAGGTAGATGTAGGGAGTAACTGAGAATCACGCTACAGAATATTCCTGGCTAAAATGACAAAAACGAAACCGCGACCAGGCACCCTTCTCCCTTCCCCGGGCTACCCTCTGGGACCTGCATGTAGAGACCCTGTGACTGTCCTAGTGAGGTTCTAGGGTTGGCAGCCGTCACAAAGATCCCAATGGCACCGTGAGCAAAATAAGGACATTTCTCTTTCTTTCTTTCAACATGAGCCCTGCAGGGCTGACATGGCAGCTCCCTGGGGTCTGGGCACAGGCTCCTTCGAACAATTCTGCTCCTTGCACGAACCTTCCACCTGGAAAGTCGTGTCTGCTGCCAGATCCACCATGCAGCCAGGGAATGTGGAGAAGAGAATGGAGAGCGTGGTCCCTTCCTTGGGAAGCTGCACGTGTCACTTCAGCTCACGTTCCATTAGCTGGAGGTTGGTGACATTCTAGCTGCAAGGGAGGCAGGAACATCATGCTGGGTGGGTGGCTCCGGGCCACGCTCAAGCTCAAAGAGCTCTGTTACTAAGGAAAGAAAGGTCCAATGGACATTGCGGACAGCTAACAATTTCCACCATGGTCCACCTCTTGGGGATCCCCTGGTTTCCATGCACCCTCTGCCTTCCGTACTCTGCGCACACTTGGCCCCTTCGCTGGGGCACAGCCTGAATGTCCCTTCCAGGCACCGTGTCCAGATGTGTCCAGGATCTGTGGGCGATGCAAAGTCCCCTCATGACCAGGGAACCTAAAAATTATAAATGACAAAAACAGGTGGTGCAGGGGCAAGGGGGGCTGCTGGAAAGGCCGCCTTTGGACGAGGGCAGGTGAACAGTGCAGCAGCCGTGGGCCCAGGACAGAGACCGCCACCGCTGGGCAGGCGTCGTCACCACGACTCAGCCTCAGCTGGCTAGTTGACCCTGCCTCTGCTCGCTTAGAGGAACGCCTTGTCCTCTGTCCCCCGCTGTCCTCCTTAAGCCCACACCGGAAGTCACCCTTCCTGGCAGCAGCTCACCTTAGGAACACATTTCTGGCCGTGTTCATACTCCAGGGTGCCTAGAGCTTCCTTTAGGGGGGGATGTGTCAAAAAACAACTTGGATTTGAAACCCAGGCTGCCCTCTAACACTTAGTAGGTTTCTGGTCTGTGGGCGTCTGGTTATCCCACTTTGCATATAACCCCACTTTAAGATCGTGTCCAGACCTGGCTTTTTATTCTTATCAACGCTGGTCTTTTCTTTCCAGGCCTCTGCTCTTGGCCCATCTTCCTCCCATTCATCTAAGAGCAGCTACCTTGACGTTATCTGGACCCACAGGCTGGGGCAGGGAGATAGTGCCTTGTTTAGATTGCGGCCCCTGGCCTGGCTCCCTGTCTGGCTGAGAGCGTTTCATGGCAGGGGCGTGCAGGGGCCGGGCCAGCCTCTTATCTCCCTCTGAGACTGTCTCTTCGAAGCCACTTCCGCCACCGCTCGCCTGTATCACTTGCCCAAGGCAGCAAGCAGCCGCCGACATACCCCCCCCCACATTCTGAGTTTTTCCAACCAGTTCTCCCAACGTCTCTGGGCCGTCGGAATGCGGTCTGCCTCCCGGGGATCACAGGAACATGTTTATGACGGGATTCCCACAGCACAGGGTCAGCAGTTTTCTGCAGTGATGGCGAACCTATGACACGCGTGTCAGAGGTGACACGTGAACTCATTTTTTTGGTTGATTTTACTTTGTTAAATGGCGTTTAAATATATGAAATAAATATCAAAAATATAAGTCTTTGTTTTACTATGGTTGCAAACATCAAAAAATTTCTATATGTGACACGGCACCAGAGTTAAGTTAGGGTTTTTCAAAATGCTGACACGCCGAGCTCAAAAGGTTCGCCATCACTGTTAGAGCGTGAATCTGTGCCCTGGACTGTGGAGGCCAGAACATGGGTTTTGGTTTGGTTGTGGTAGCACCTCCCTTCTGGGTGCCCCAATCTGTAATAGTCAGGATGCCAGGACAAAAATAACCCCCAGAGAGTGGCTTAAGCACCAAGGAAGTTTATTTCTTTCTTAGTTACAGTCCAAAATCAGGTGGTTCAGGGCGATACGACACCAGGACACCAGGAGCCCCGGTGCCGGGAGCTCGCTGCTCTGCGGTCTTCAACGAGGAACTTGGAGCTCAGGGTCTAAGACGGCTGCTGCCGCTCCCTCCATCTCATCTGCATCCAGATCAGGGCCACGCAGAGAAGAGAAAGGAGAGCACATACCACCCTCCTCTAGGCCCAGGGCCAGAACATGCGCTCGCATCCCACAGCAGGTGGGATCGGAGGCCCAGGAGCCCCCCGCTCACGTGTGTGTATTTGCCTGCGGGAGCATGTGTGGGCTGGTGTATGGACACCGAATGTCCTACTTTGGCCCAAGGCTGCAGGGTTTGAGAGGGGTTGAGCTGGGCGGCAGCCAGGCTGGCTGTCCCTTTGTCCAGGGCTCTTTCCTCTGGCAGTCCTCCGCCCGGGAGAGAAGCAGGCCTGGGAGAGGAGTGAGACCCTCATGCCAGTGTGAAAGGCCTGCGCTGAGAATCATGAACCCGGCCCGGAATGAACTGCTGGCCTGCCCCCTGCATTTGTGGTCATTTGCCTTGAGGCCAGGGATGCTGCTGTCCCAGCAGCAGCCATGCTGACTGCAGTGCTGGCCGGGTCCCCGAGCCAGCATGGTGCACCCCAGTGTGTCTCCTGTGACGCGGGGTTGACAATGCTGCCCGGCCACTTCACCTGTTGCTTTGGGAAGTCAGGTGGGATCGTGGACATGAACAGACCGGGTGAGCCGGGGTGGGCCGGACGCAGCGTGCTGTGCTTGGGTGAAGGAGGAGCCCAAAGGGACTTGGCAGGTGTGGTCAAACTCGGGGTCTTGAGATGGGAAGATGGTCCTGGATGACCCGGGTGGGCCCGCTGTCGTCTCAAGGGTCCTCGTAAGGGGAAGAGAGAGAGAGATGGGGCGCAGGTCCGAGAAAAGATGTGGTGATGAGCTTTGGAGATAAAGGGCCCAGGAGCCAAGGACTGTGGGCAGCCCCCAGAGCCACACAAGGCCAGGACACGGAGTGTCCCCTGCACCCTCCAGGAGCAGCCAGCCTGGAGATGCCTCGATTCAGATGCTGCGAGGCCGTTTCGGACTCCTGACCTCCCGGTCGGTAAGATTAAGAACGCGGTGCTGTAAGCCATGAAATGTGGGGCGATTTGCTACATCAGCAAGAGGAGGATCACACACATGGGCTGAGGGGGACTGCAGTGGCCGAGATGGGGGCGCAGTGAGTAAGGGCCCAGAAGTGGGAGGAGGGTGTGGGCCCCTGGAGGTTGGCAGCCTCTTGGACCAGCATGTGGGACGCAGGGAGGGGCTGCAGGGTGAGGCCAGCTGGGCAGGCTGGGGGCAGGTTGGGGATCCTGAACACTCTGTAGAGGGGGTGGTACCTCACCTGCCAGGGAATCACTGGGGTGTCAGAAGGCAACAGAGACACAGCCTCAGTGCCCTGTGTGCTGTGGCCACCGTGTGGGCAGAGTCTGGACCCTGGCGCTTGTCAAGATATGTGCTGTGTGCGAGGCTCCAGAAGCCATCGTGGACCTGCAAGCCCAGAGCTGTCAGTAGCAAGGGGAGCCCGAGGCAAAGACATAGCACCTTTATTGAAAAGACCCTGCCAGCAGCATGCCACAGTCCCTGTCCGGCACTGCTGTTTTTTTTTTGTTGTTGTTGTTGTTTTGTTTTTTTGTTTCTTTTTGGGGGATTAAATGGGCAAAACCATTTGAAAACCGACCTGGGAACCACAGTAGCAGGAAATTTTGGCTCAGGGAATAGAGCGTCAGCCTGTGGACCACAGGGTCTAGGGTTCGATTCTAGTCAAGGGCATGTACCTCGGTTGCAGGCCCTGGTCGGGGTGTGTGCAGGAGGCAACCCATCGATGTGTTTCTCTCTGTCTTTCCCTCTCTCTTCCATTCTCTCTACAAATCAATGGAAAAATATCCTCGGGTGAGGATTAAAAAGTAAAAAAGAAAAAGAAAAGAAATGCGTGACTGGGAAGGAGACGCAGTAGAAGCCGCATGTCTTTGTCCTCAGTGTTCACGGAGATGCGCCCTTAGTGGGTGGGCGGAGTGGGCGGGGAGGCCCGGAGGAACCAGCCCCGGGCCCTGGAGAGGATTTCTGCGCGCTCTGCCGGGAAGCCGTCCTGGGAGGCCACGCACAGACACGTGCCTCCGACTGCCGCTCGGATAGTGTCAGATCCTGCAGGGAAGAGGAGAACACACAACATCCTGAATGTTGCCAGAATGGTATTTGGATAAACAGTGTGGACAGCTGCTCCTCCGGCCGCAGCCAAAGAAATTTTGCTGTTGTCCACGAAGAACACGCATTTGACGGGGACCGTTAGCTGGGAGCTGCCCCGCAGAGTGGGTGCCCCTGCCGGAGGCCTCCGAGGGCCTCAGCACTCCACTTGAGCACCGCCCTTTCAGCGGATGGTGTTCTCTCTGCATTTGGGGCTCTTCATTCCCCTTCTAAGAGAAAGCGCTAATGGTGCCCGGGAGCAGAGCTGCAGCCGGCTGTTTCCTGGAGAGGATGTGAGAGCCAGAGGGCCTGATGCCCGCTCCCCACGCGGCAGGTGGGGCGGTGGGAGACTCAGGACAGGCATCCCACATCCTGGAGGCCCCGCCCACGAGGGCGATGCTGAAGCTAGGGGTGTTGGGGGTCACTGAGCAGCGCCAAGGTCAGAGCCGCACAAGATGCGAGCATCAGCTTGCTCCCTGTGGAGTGACCCGAAGTGTCAGGTCCATCAGCAATGTGCCTGGGGGTGAATTCGTGTAAGTGGTCCCCGCTGAAGGCTAAATAATCGGTGTCAAAAGAGAAAAGTAAGAGAGACTTTCCCATTCGGGGGGGGACAAAAATTGCCCCTGCTCGTGGCAGAGGGTGGGAGTGACAGCAGAGAGGTTTTGCTGGGAAGCCCGGAAAGGTGACCCTGGCCCATCCCCCACTGAGATGGGGTCCCCTGGGGACGGACAGCAGACACGGCAGAGGCCACACCACCTTGTAGAAGCATCTCAGGTCCTCAGGGGGTTCCGCCCACCATGGATACCCCCAACCTCATTTGCAGGAGGAAACAGGCCCCCAGGAGGGGGTCACCTGGCTGGAACGGGCTGGGCCGGGGCCTCCTCGTTGCATGCATTGCTGTGGGTCTGCGGGGCCTTGTGGGGGGCTGGGCCGGAGCCATGTCCACAGCTGTCCTTCAGATGCATGAGGACGTGCCTATGGTGGAGGGATGGAGAGGAGGGGCCAGAGCCCGAGGTCCGGCCAGCTGTGTGACCCTGGGCAAGTCCCAGGGACACTCTGGGCTGTGTACCACCCCTCCGATGTGTCACTGACGCCCACTCAGCGCCACGGCACCTCACGCCTGTTGGGATGATGACCGTGGAAGCTCTTCGTCACAGCAGCCCAGGGCAGCTCTAGCGAGGACGGACTGCGGTCCCAGAGGAGCTGTGACTAGTGACTGAGCCACGGGGGAGCCCCAGCAAAGGCCCCGGTGCATTTTCTGGATTAAGGAGGGTTGACAATAGAAGGGTTAGAAACGGCATTTGGGGAACAGAACAATACTCACTTTAAAACCTAACTGGATCTTTTCTGTTTATATTCTGCTGCCCAAGGCGAGGTAGAAAATATTTATCTTTGTGTTTTACAAGCGGTGGCCTCTGGCCAGATGAAACGGCGCCTTTGCTCCGCGGAGCTCGGAGGGCGAAGGAGGGAGGAAGCCGCCATGAGCGCTTATTGTGCAAAATGACCTCGGAGAGCCCAGAGCCAAGAGGAGGCGTTGTTTTTTATTTGCTTTTTTTCCCCCTTTTTTTAAAAAAAAAATTGTAGTAAAATATACTAACATAGTATTTACCATTTTCATACATTTTAAGTGTACAAGTGCAAAATTCAAGCTTAGTAATATGGGTAAATCATATTTCTCTGTGATATTAAAAAAAATCAAAGTAATGCAAAAAAATAATCACTGATGGACAACATATCCAAATAAAGGCAGGATCAGTCTTAGTGGTTTTTCTCTTTGTCTCAGGTCTCAAGAGGGCTTCAATATTTTGCATAAAATTTTGATATTTTTTTCATCATGGATTCACCCAGCAATTTAGCCTCTCCAGGAGGCTCAGGGAGGGAGACCCCAGAGAAAACATAGGACCCCCAACCCTGCCTGCAGGGCTTTTGCAGGTCTGCGTGGCCGTGGTGAGCCCACAGGACCCTGGCATATGGGTCTGCATGAGAGACCCGTTTCCCAAGCTCGCACGCCACTCGGGCTGGCACCCAGGGCGGCGTGTGGTGTGTCCCTCCCCAAGGGCAAAGGCAGTGACCGTGCCATCCTAACTCCAAGAGACCGAGAGAGCCTCAAAGACTCTCCCCCAGACTCCAACCAACACCGCAGCACCATTAACACCAGGCTCCCAACAGCTTGCTGAGGCTCCTGGACAGCGCTCTAAGAAGTGTGGTTTCGGGGTCATTAATAATACATCAAGCGGCCTTTATTCTCAAAGACAGCGCGCTCTCTCCGGGAGGCCCCGCTGAAATGCCACATCCCAATTTGATGAAACCGGTAAAGCTTCAAATCCAAGCCCAACGAATTCCAAGTGAGATAACACCAGGAGAGCCACGCCAAGACACCTCATCATCAATTGGCTGAATCGGGAGTGAAAGGGGAAATCTTGAAAGCAGCCGGAGAGGAGTGTGAGGTACAGGGGAACCGCGCGGGACAGCACTGTTCTCCTTGGAGGCCCCGGCCGCCCGCCGTCAGCGGGTCTCACGTTTAACTAGCGACAGGAAGGCACTGTGCATCCAGGAGTCTGTGGCCTACACAAAAACCTTCCCAAATGAAGAGTTTAGGGCACCAGCAGGCTGGCGCTCTTGAAGAAAGTTCTTCAAGAAGGAAAATGATATCAGAGGGAAAGTGGGATTCACAAAAAGGAGTGAAGAGTACTGGGAAGGGCAAATATGTGCCTAAATGTAAAAAAAAAAGTTTTAAAAACAAACAAAACTCCACTTGAAGAATGACAATCTGCAGTCAGAATCATGACATTCAGATGGTTCATAAGTGTTAAAAAAATAAAAACGACTAAATATATTTACATCATGGATGTCATGTGTACTCATTTTACCCAGATACAAATAGAAACTTAATACTCGTAAACCCTCCCAACCTGTTCCATAAAGGAAATAACGTTTTATATGTAATACTACACATTTCGTATATTAAACGTTAGAACATAAAGTATAAATTGAGATACTGCATGAAATAGTTTACATTATTTTGCCATATGCATTTAAAAACACCTATTAAAATAATTTTTTTCTCAACTTTAAATTTCCTCAAAAGACAATTGACTATTAAAAACTATATCAACAACATACTGTAAAATATATTCTATATGGAAAAGTATAATCTATGACAACCACAGCACAAGGATGGGAGAGGCAAAACAGAAGAATATTGTGGCAAGGTACTTACATAATATGTGAAGGGGTATAAATTTGAAGATAGACTGTGATAAGTTGAATATGCATATTCTAGATCCTGGAGCAACTCCTAAAAATTAGAACAAAGAGATCTAGTTTATTAGATATTTGTGAAAAATCCCTTATCCCACATTTAATCCTAAAGAATGAAGGAAGGGAAAAAGACTTAAAAACAAATGGGGCAAATAGAAAACAAGTAGAAATGTGGTAGACTTAAACCCAATGACGCTGATGATTATATTAAGTGAAAAGGTTTAAATACTCCAATAGAAGGCAGAGATTTT